GCGACCGAAAAATTTTCTTCTCTAAAATTGTCTCCTTTCACCTCCTTTTCTGCCCTCTAGCAATGTTCTGTTGTCTGCTTTCATTTCCACTTTCTGCCCCCACCCCCTCACCTCCCTCACCTCCTTTACCCCTTCCTCTGGGCTCCTGACTCTTTCTGCAGCCTTTCTACTGCTACTCCTTGGCTCCTCCTTACTGCTGTCTTTCTGCCACACCCCTGATCTTCTGGTAGGAAAGATCTACACCTAGCCTTCTCGGACAAGGGCGAGCTGACGTGAAAACGCCCTTGTTTGCAAGTTGCGCACGTTAAAGGACAAATCCACCCCCCCCCCCAAAAAAAAGAAAACAACCCCCCCCCCCAAAAAAAAAAAAACAACAACAACAACAACAACAAAACAAACAAAAAACAAAAAACCCCACAAATAAACCAATAACAAAACAAAGACCAGAACAAACCCAAAACAAAACAGACCCATCATTTACAATAAATTATCCATCTTTCTCAAATCCTCCTTGAACTTATCGAAAAGGTTTTGCCTCATTTTAAAATGATTTTCAAAATTGTCTTTGTCCTCTCTGCGCTGGAGCACTGAGTGATGACATTCCCAGTGAGGTGCTCTTCTTAAATTTTAACTGGCGGCAAAACAAAAAACCTGCTTCAAAATCTTTTATAATTCTTTTGCCGACAACACAAAAACCCCCACAAAACAAACAACAACACCCCCCCCCCCAAAAAAAAACAACCCAAAAAACAAAACGGTCTTTTGACTTCTTGAAAAATCCATCTTATTTACCAAAAACTTGCCGCACGCAATGTCGTCTCCTTTTGATTGTCTACGATTCTGGTTCGGCACAATTTTACTTTTACTTTTTCTTTTTCATCGTCTGTTGCCGTTAAGTGTCGAGGGGAGATGCAGTTTTCTATGGTAGGCCAGCTCCGCAGCTCCTTTAGTAGTGATATCATGTTTTCTCAGGGTTTCATTGGCACTCTCGATCCACCTTTGCGTGGCCTCCCTCTTCCTTTATAGCCTGAGTTCTTGGTGCTGCAGGCCCTCGAGGCTGACTGGCCATGTGACCTACGTAACAGTGGCCAAACCATTTTATTCTCTGCCTTTCTATGTAATGCTGGCAGGACTCAATGCCGATAGCTGCTCCTACTTCTTCATTTCTCTTGTGATGTTAGGGGTTTTGCGGAGACTTATCACTTCACATGCAGCTCTTTTGCTTTCGTGGGTTTTACTTAATGTCCAGGTCGGCGTAACACCACGGTAAGGCCGGTCCCAGAGTGGCTCTGTAGGTCTGACCTGTAGCTCGCCTGGCTCGCACCGTGCAAATGAATGTATACATTATCGTGTGCTAAAGCAGCGTCGCTGTGTCGTCTGTTTTTTGTCAGCTGAGCTGCGCGATGCGTCAGACGTGCTATTCAACAGTGTTGTAAAAATGGCGGACATGTGTCGCCTCGTTTCGTGTTTATTTTCGACTGAAACCCTTCACAGATCATCAAAATCAACAAGAAGTAAGTATTTTTAGGCGCTTTATTATTAAATATTGATGCTAACATCAACACTTGGCCACAAAATCACCCAGAAATGCACTTTATCATACTTTGAAACTTTGAAATCGAGAGGTTGACCTAGTTTCGACTGTTGTCGTAGACCTAGGCCTAGGCCTAGATCTAGGTGTGCTTCTCTAGATTCTAGATCTAGATCTAGCCTTGCATTACCAATGTAAACTATCGCCGCGCGCAGCTGCAAGTGTGTTTGTGTGTGTTTGTGTGTGTGTGTGGGGGGGGGGGGGGGGGGGCTGCACTTGGCACATGACGTAAAGAAGAGTTGTCTCGTCTTGGTATAATTGGTCTTGGATTACACAGTACCTAAATATAGCAAGGCAGTCCCGTCAGTTGCACACCTACACACGTCAACACACAGTGCGGCTGTGCTGAGACGCATCGAGTGTGCCTTGCGCTCGCTGAGACACAGGCGCCAACCCACAGTGCGGCTGTGCTAACACGCACTCGGCGTGCGCCAGGCGAGCTACAGGTCAGACCTACAGAGCCACTCTGGGACCGGCCTAAAGCATGCTCCGCGAAGTGCACGACCGTTCCCTAAAAAACCAAACCCAAAACCAACGCTAGTCTAGCTTAAACAAACAGAGCGACAGAACACACCAGTCCTTAGAAGATCTACTTGGTGAAACTTGCGAGTCGGTACAGACACTTATATTTCTTTGCCTTCCCGATTTGGTTAAGGCACAATAAGGACCTTAGAATAAATTCTGTTTATAGCTTCCTCTGTAAAGACAGAGGCCGTAACATTCTTTAGCTCTATTTATTATTCATAATCATTGGGTAAATCTCCAAAACAGAGTGAAAGAAAGAAATTGCTCAACCCTGAACAGGACAGCACGCTTAAGGTTACATTTCCCATGCTCCTTTTCCCGCGTTTCAGCCATTTTGTTGCTCGCGGTTGACGGGTGATTTGGTGCGGTTTGCTCTCCTTTTCTGATCAAACACCTATTGTCCAGATTCTGATGTCTCCTCCTTTTTGTGTTTGTTATTATCCTTTAACACCTCTATGGCCTGATTGTGTTGCAAGTGCCGTTAAATACTTTATAAACTAAAATCTATTTCGTTTCCTGCTAATCTTTTGAATTCGCGATTTCAAAGTGCAAGCTTTTGACTCGTCCATATTCCAATGGAGGGATTCGAACTCGAAATCTGGCCTTTTCACAGTTTCCTTTCTATCTTTCAAGCTCTCTCTCTCTCTCTCTCTCTCTCTCTCTCTCT